ACGACGACAACCACGACGACGACGACGCCGCCGACGACGACTACTACTACTACTACTGCCGCTACCGCTACCGCTGCTATTAGTACTAGTACTACTGCTGCTACTACTACTACTACAACAACAACAACTACAACAACAACTACTACTACTACTACTACTTATTACTACTACTTACTACTATAGTAGTACTGCTTCCACAGGACAAAGATACAAACATAACATGCACGTTTGAATACACACAACCACACGTCTTTGCTTGTCGCGGTGCTTGAAGATGAAGTGTGAGTGAACTTGTGCACACGGCTAAATACATGTAAACACACACACACATATATATATATATATAATACACACACAATTATCCATATACACATGTATATATTGGCATATATGAGGATGTGCTCCATCCAGAAACGAGGTGACGAAGCACGGAAGGGATGCGGTGCGCCTGTCAAAGTGCTGTTCATAGAGATGCACGAAGCAGCCGAGAAAGAAGAAGATGAGCCCACGCAATGGGTTGTACTCCATCCGGGCCACCTGTGTGATCGTGCCGAAAATGAAGCGAAATGGTCGAAGGAATCCGATTACGACAGCGGCCTTGACCATGCTGCCCAGGTGATATCGCAAGAGTGTGTAGGAAAGCTTCCAGAGTGTCGTGCCACTCTTCCGCTCGAGCTTCGGATCGTCGAAGTACCATGTACATGCCAGATAAGAAACTGCAAACTCCCATGCTGCTGTGATCACAGCTTCCACCCAGAGAAGCATGCCTGTCCAGCAGATGAAAAATATCAAGCTTCCGGTGCAATGCTCCTGGCCACAGTCGAAGCTCACCACACGCGCTTGGTGGTTGTAGAATATGCCCGCCGGGGACACCAAGAGGCAAAACAGCATGAAGCTAATCGCGCACGCTCTCGTTAGCAGCACCACAAGAGGACCGAGCTGCAGCAGAGGCATGTCCAACACGCACTCGCAAGAACTCTCAATGCATCCAGCTGCTAGCTCGAGCGTGGTCGCCTGGCAATTTTCACATGTGGAACCTGCATCCTGAACCGTAGAACAAAAGCCTAACTGCCCGAAGCCCTCGGGCCACGCCCTTCATGCATCCAGCTCGGAAACCACCGAGGCTGACGAATCAACAACCCTCAAATCGCGAAGCACACGATCACCTGGAAGCCATTTCAAAAACAGAAAAACGGGCATCGAGAAGGCAGACGACGTTAAGTTAATGCCAGAAACCAGCGAGAGTGACAAGTAGTGTGCCTGTGCCGATCTACAACGTATATTATTCTACATACACGACGATAACGCTGAATTCATGAAATCGTACGATTTGCAAGATAGTGATTGAAAGACGTTGAAAAGTGCTACTACTTGCTGTTAACTGACTTGTCAGATGTGGCAGCAGAAGTGGTAGTATCAGCAGCATGACAAACTAGCAACCATCACCAGCGGTGGTAGTAGCAGCAGCAGCAGCAACAAAAAGCAACAACAGAAGCAGCGTGATTCGGGACCAGGGCTCCTTATGTTCGGGACAGTCACTGGCCACCACCGCCACAACGACTGCAAACACTAACAAACACAATCACACATGCGCAGAAGCCCTATCCAAAATCGTCGAAACTGCGCAAGCAGTCATGTCCGTACAACACGTATAACAAAGTATAAACATGTGTATGTGTACACATATGATATATACATATATACTCCTTTATCTAAATATGTAACTACGCATATGAATAATGTATGTATCTATGCACGAAGGCAAACACTGGAAGAGAGGTAGGTTAATATGCACGGACGCAGGTCTGGCATGCGCACACATGCATGCACAGACGCACAATGTATGTATATGTATGTATATATATATACACATACACACATACATACATACATACATACATACATACATACATACATACTACGCGTATCTATCTATGCATCTCTGTGTATATACATATGTTATATATGTATGTATATATATACACACATAAGCGAGGTTACAGATGTAAGTGTCTATATTTGTACTTGCACTTGAATGTGTACTGAGACATTTTACATATAGCATGAATCGCACACGCAAACGTCAAAGGCTGCGCCAGATTTGCTTTGCTACATTCCTGCTGAAACCCCCGGGGGCACGTGGGCGCTAGAAATGCATCCCAGGAAGACGCCGATGAGAACCAGTGCCCAGCAAAAGCCTTCAGCGTCTTTGCCGTTCATCACCTTACGCAGGCTTAGGTTTGAAACTCTTAACCCTTTATGAAGGCGAAACTCTGAACTCTAACCCCTTAACTAAATCCTAAATCCTACCGTTTCGATGCTTTCCAGAACAGAAGAGAGGCTCAGACTGGGGAAAGCACGGAAGAGCAAAAACATCTCATGACGACGTGCCCTCGCTCATTCTGTTCAACTGCCCTAAGTCGCAACATAGCCCAAACTCCTTACACAGCACGGTCATATGGGCCCGAAAGTCCCTAAAGCCTTATAACGTCCTAGTCCTTGAAGTTGTAGGGCTCTCCAGCGAAGTCACATAAAGGAACAAGGCCCAAGTCCATGGGATCAGGATGATGACAGCCACACCGGTCTTCAGGAGACTCTCGGCATGCTTCTTCAGGACGAAGAGAAGTCTGTAGGAAATGCCGATGCCTACCAGAGCTGCCATCAAAAGAGGTACCCAAAGGCGCCTCAGAGCTACGTATAGCCTGGCCTCTTCTGCCGCCCGCGCGTGGTGGACGAAGAGGCGGTTCGCCAACTCAACGGACCGGGGTACACAGAGGTTGCTGATGTGAAAGATGCTGGTGTCGGTGGGGTAGTCCACTGCCTCCGCATCTACGCCTGTGAGGTTGTTGGAACATCGGTACTTGGAGTGGTTGCTCGAAGGACAGGACTCCCTGCAAACGGTAAAGGCGGTCTGCAGCTCGCCAGCATGTACAGCGCAAATGTAGGCAAATCGTTGATGAGCCTTGCCCGCAGTTCCACAGACATTGCCCTCGTAGTCGGCGAGCTTGAGAAGAGCCGTGAAGCTGGGGCTCTTAAACCCAAAGACCAAGAGCACCGAAAGAAGCAGCAGAAAGACCAGCAGCCAGGATACGTCCGTACAGCGCCTCTGCTTCTTCTCGGGATGCTCGTGAGCTAGGATCTCTTCCTTGGTCCACTTCGACGTGTGCTCCGTTGTGCTCGCTGGGGCGGTATAGGCCCTCGATAAAACCTCAGTTCCTCAGACATCACCTCTTCAACAAAACGGCGGGGAGCCCTTGCCTACTACTCATCGGGAGGCCATCAAAAAAAACACCAAACCCTAGTCCAACGCGCAAAATCCTTCATCCCAAGCTATATAAACCCTAAGCCATAATCTTTGGGCCTTAATAATAAGAATCGGAACATGGGGTACATTATATATATATATGTATATACTATGATAATAAATATAATAAGGACCCCCCCCCCC